CACGCGGCTTTCCTTTCTCTCCCAGTCTCCTCTTGGGATTTCGTGCCCCCCCACACACACACACACACTTACCCGGTGTAAGTTTTAAGCTGCCAGGTCTGGGACTCCAACTACAGTCGACTACGTGGGAGTCCAGCACCACAACCATTACACCATTTGCTGGTCCCCGCTGTGCGGTTTTCAAGCTGCTGGGTCCGGGACTTGAACCACACAGTCAGCCATGTGTGATCCAGCTGTCCCAACCACCATGACACATGGCTGGCCTGGAGATTTTTATAAATAAAATTTCAAATAATAAAAGACTCTTTGGAAATAGATTTACTTACAGCTGAGTGCTGTGGCAGGAGCAGAAGCCCATGGGAAGTGTGGGTGGCATTCCAGGGACTGCCCCACCCTGGCCTTTCCTGGAGGAGGGTTACCTGAGGGCACTGCCTGGTGGTGCTGTCCCGCTAAGATAGTCCCCCAGGAGGCACATGCGGGGATGTGACCCCAACCTCCCTGCAAGTGCATCATGCTTCCATTGGCTTCTGAAAATACTAAGAAGAGTTGAGGACCCCGAAGACTTTCAGTGGGGACCTGTAGGGGATCCCCAAATGAGGAGTGGCTGTTTAAAAAAGCAAATAACACCCCTGGTAGGTTTGGGTAGATGCCCGTGGGAGTCCAGTTCCACATCACGCCGCCCCACAAGTAAGTGGCCTTCAGGGTCAGGAGGGGCTGGTGGGGCAGCCCCCTCGTCACTCTGCAACGGGAGGACTCTGAGATTTCTGGCATGTCCTGACCTTAGCCCACTGACCACCACCACTCGGAACCCCCTGCAGAGCCTGCAGCCGCTCACCCAGGACAAATGAAACCTGGGGGAGGGAAGGCCAAGTTCGGCATTTCTGTGTGGGCTTCTCCCTACTCATCCGCAGGGGCCCGGGGGCAGCGGCCTATGGGGAGGAAGTCATGAAGTCACTGCTGAATGCAGACTCCTGGGAGGAACGGACCATGGATCACACTGCCAGGCCTTGCTCACCAGAGCCAAAGGCACACCCTGCCCCGGCCAGACGCTAAAGAACACACTCTACACACGCTCCAAAGTGACCGACCTGAAGGAAAATGCAGATCACCCATTTCTCCTGGAGCAGCCAGGCAGCGAAGGAATTCAGGGACACCCTGTGGGCAGCCGCCTGGCCCCTCCCTTTCCCACTGTGCTGCCCCAGGGAGTCGCTCTCCCTGACCCGTGTGTGATCTCTTCGATCTGAGCCAATCATTAACCCCACTGAGAGCCTCCAGGAAGGCCCCGCCAGGGCCTGGGCTGTGGAGCTGGCCTGTCCTTCAGGCAGCACTGCCCTCTGGAGCTGGGAGGGGGAGCCGCTGCGGGTGGTAGTGAGGGCGGAGGGCACTTGGACATGGTGGGAAAGCCCACTCTCCCCGGGCTGTCCCACCCCAGTTGTGGGGTCAGCAGGGGGCACGGAGCTGAGTCCTGGGCCCAGCAGCTTGGAAAACATGCTGGGCATGGTGCCCGAAATCCCAAGGGGAGAATGGAGGAGAGGAGATTGTGGCATGGCCATCCCCCGGGGGTGGTTTCTCACTTCCTCCTCTGTCTCTGGAGGGCGTGTTCACCCTGTAGCAAACCTCGGATGAACAAAGTCCCCAGCTGTGTGAGCTCTGGGAGCAGAGTCAGCAGCCCTGGTTCCTGCCGGCTCAGGTCCTGGGCCTATGTTTGCCACCCCCTCCTGCCATGGGTCAGGTGGAATCTGGCCACAGGGCAGGAAGGGAGCTGGAGAAGCCACCTGGCCCACGTCTTGCCCACTCACAAGTGAAACAGCTCCTGGGGCCCCTAGTGCTGAATCGCCGAGACCAGCCTGGAAAACCAAGGCGGGGACCTTTGCCGACGTCTGGGGGATGCGGGTGGGCGGTGTCCTCCAGTCAGGAATCCCCTTCCCAGGCCGCAGCACAGCGGTCGGGGAACTCCGGCCTCCCCAGAGCCCGGCTGTGGCTCTTGCGGGTGAGGGGGTTGGAGTTCCAGTTCGCAGGCACCTTGGTTGAGTCCAGGCAGCAGAGGGGAGGCGGGCTGGCCACCCACCCAACCCTGGAGCAGGGGGCCACGCAGGGCCGGGACCCTCCGGCGCGCCCCTGTCCAGCCAGCGCTCGGAGACCAGCTTTATTGGCACCGCCCTGAGCCGGCGGCGCACCTAGGCCTCGGGGTGCCGCTTGAGCGTGACCGAGGCGCCGCTGCTGACCATGACGGCGGGGTAGAGCGGCTCTAGGAAGGTGACCAGGAAGCGGTAGAGCAGGCTGACGCCGCCCTGCCCCGCAAGGAGAGGCAGCCGGCGCCGCAGTCGAGCGCCACGCCCAGCGTGCGGTGGTAGGCGCCGCGCAGCACGGTCTGCGTGTTGTTGTGCCACACGGAGAACTGCAGCGAGTCCCACTCCAGGCACCACGAGTAGGGGTTGCGGCCCAGCAGGTAGACGATGTTGCGGCGCGGGTGGGCGCTGGGCGGGGGGCTGCGGCGGTAGGTGACGCCCAGGCACACCCACGAGTTGGACACCTCTGCCTCCCAGTAGTGGCGGGGGGGGGGCGAGCACAGCACCTGCGGCCACTGCTTGAAGCCCGGGAAGGGACCGCCCGTGGTCAGGGGCTCCAGGAGGATGCCCAGGTTCAGCACCGAGTGCGTCTCCTTGAACAGGAACAGCTCCTCGCTGGCAGTGGCCGGGTCAAAGTTCAGGTTGCAGTAGCCTAGGGCGTGGGGCGAGACAGGCTCAGGGGCCCCACACCGGAGCCTGGAGGCCTCAGGGGAAGGCGCTGAACTGCATGGCATTTGCAGTAAAGTCGCAGGATGTCCCCTGAGTCCCCAGGAGTGGCCCCTCCACCCGCTGCCTCACAGTGCCCCAGCTCTGGCCTGGGTACCACTGACAGTCCAGGAGGGGTGAGCCTGGTGTTGTCCAGGGCTCTGGCTTGCAGGAGACAAACCTTTGGGGACCAGGAGTCCCCCTCCCCCTTCTACAGATCCTAACATAATCTCCCCCTTTGACTTAGGACACAGGCTGAGCGGCATCGCGGGAGTCCAGGGTTCTTAGAGCAGGTGACACGGATGGAGCCACCAAAGATAATCATCAACCTTGATTCACAAGATGTCAGAGAAGCCTTTGGGGTTTGGCTCCTAGCCCTGCCTGGGAAAAGGGCTCAGGAAGGTCAGTGAGCAGGGAGGTTATGTCTGAGGAAGAAAAGGATGGAGCCCATCCAGGCTGGCTTGGCTAAAGCTCAAAAGAGGTTGGCAAGCACCCAGCTGGGGACAGAGGCTGGGCAGGCACCCAGCTGGGGATGGAGGTTGTGCAGGCACACAGTTGGGGGCAGAAGCTGTGCAGGGACTCAGCTGGGGGCAGAGGCTGTGCAGGCACCCAGCTGGGGATGGAGGTTGTGCAGGCATTTGGCTGAGGACAGAGGTTGTGCAGGCACCCAGCTGGAAGCAGAAGCTGTGCAGGCACCCAGCTGGGGATGGAGGCTGGGCAGGCACTCAGCTGGGGCAGAGGTGGTGCCACATGAGGGCCAGAGAGCAGCTGCAGAGCCAGCCTTTGGGGAGCAGGCAAGGCCTCACCCTGCCTATGGGGACAGGACGGGTCGAGGGCTCAGGAAGGTCAGTGAGCAGGGAGGTTGTGTCTCTCCTTCCTACCAGGGGCTGAGATCCAGGCTGAGTGTTCCTGAGGTCCTGGGTAGAGGTCATGGCAAGGGAGTTGGCATCTCCTGTTGGCCTTGACCTGGATGGAAGTGGGCTGGGGCACCCTGTTCCTTTCTCCCACCCCTGAGGCTGGACCCCTGCACTGCAGACTCACACTTGAGGAGTGCGTTTCTGTCCACAGGGGGGGGCAGCACCTCATAGGAACTCATCTTGATGCCTGGGAGAGAAGGGCTTTGCTGTCACAGTGCAGCGTCCACTCAGAGAGGCACGGCCACCTGGGGAAGGTGCCCAGGGAAGGCAAGGGCCTGGACCCCCAACCAGTGCCCTGCAGGGCAGTCCCAACCCTGGGAACCAGGCCCCAGGCCACAAGGACTGACCCTTCAGGAGGAGCTGGTTGACAAAGCTGAGGCCCAAATCTACCAGTTGCACCCGGAGCTCAGCGAGGGTCTCTGGCAGTTGGAGGAAGCTCTGCGTCTCTTCACAGCTGGTGCCCATCAGGGCTTCTGTGCAGGCTGAGAAGTGCTGCAGCCTGGGGAACTCCTGGCAGGCAGGGAGGGGCCGGTGTATCACCTGTTAGCCAGGGCCCAGGCAGATGCCAGCGGCTCCCACTCAATACAGGGCTTGCGGGGAGTGGGCGTTACCTGTTTGTTTGTTTTAAGAATTATTTTATTGAACTTTATTTATGTTAATTTGACCAGTGAGGAACAGAGTGAGAGAGAGAGAAAGTAAGCCATCAAATCCAGGACTTGAACCACGGTCAGCCATGCGGTACCCTTAACCACCATGCCATCTGCCAGCCCCAACGTTGCCTGTTTTGAAACCTGGACATCTCTCCCCTTCTCCTAAGTTATTTGGAAATTTTAGGTTAGGACTCTGCAAAAGGTATATAGCCCCTGTGGTCTGGAGTTTTACAAAGTGGAGCCATTAATCATGAAAACCTGGGTCCATGGGACCAGCAGTTAGCGTAATGGCTATGTCGCTGAACTCCCACGTAGTCGACTACGGTTCGCGTCCCAGACCCGGTGGCTTAAATCTCACGCCGGGCGCGTGTGCATGTGTGCCCAAGATCCCGAGAGGAGAATGGAGGAGAAGGGATTGTGGCGTGACCATCACCCCTGGGGGGTGATTTCTCGCTTTCTGTCTCTCTGTCTCTCTCTCTCGCGAGCCCAGCCCCCCAATAAAAAAACCCCCCAAAAAAAAAAAAAAAAAAAAAAAAAACCTGGGTCCAGCAGGTGGCATGGTGGTTAAGGCACTGGACACTCCCACATGGACAACCTTAGCTCGAGTCCTGAACCCAGTGACTTGCTTTCTCATGTCCTCTCTTTCTCTCTCTGTGTGTGTGTCTCTCTCTCTGCTCAAATTAAAATAAATGAATTAATAAATAAAATAAAATAAATGAATCTTTAAAAACAATCATGAAAACCATTCCAGATGTGTGCTATTTTGCTCCGGAAACAAGGCTAGCAGCAGCGTCTTTCCTGGAGTGTGACGACAACTTAAGAAATGAGGTCTGTGAGCCGGCAGGTGGCATGGGGGTTGGGACACTGGACTCCCATAGGCCAGACCGTAGTTTGAGTCCCAGACCTGGCAGCTTGCTTTCTTACTTCCTCTCTCGCTCTCTGTCTCTCTCTGGTGAATGCACATGCTCTGTACCAAATTTAAAACTACTACTAATAAATAAATTAATTCAAAGAAAGAAAGGAGGTTCATGCTGGGCGTTCTCAAGCCGCCACCCTCCTGCCAGCTACTCTGCCTGATACCTGTCCCCCCCCCACCCTGCTCGCCCTTGCAATGGCACCAGGCTGCGGGGCTAGGCCAGAGCTGGGGAAGAGGGGCTTCGATCCAGGCTGTATAGATTGCTCTGTTCTCAGGGAGTCTGGAAAAACTTAGACAAAGCAGAGGCCCAGACTCCCGGGGCACACCCCATTCGTTCTAAGAAAATGAAGGCAGGAGGGTCGTGGTAGTGCTGAGCTGTGCGGTGGAGGAAGAGGCCGAGGGCATTGGCCCAAGCTCTGTTCCGAAGACCGGAAAAGAGGAGCCTGGAGGCCGGGGAATGGGCAAAGAACGCAGCGCCAGGTACTGGTCACTGGCCCACGGTCCGAGCAGATCTGGTGTGTCTATAGGTGGGGGACCGAGGACGGGACAGGACTTGGACCACAAGTGGGGAGGGGTGGCACCTCGCCTGCAGAAATTGCTGGTCGCTGCGGCTGGCGAGCAGGGTGTGGAGCCAGGAGTTGTCCTCCTCCAGCTTCAGGAGCCGGTTGTGGCCCTGCTGGATGGAGCTGCCCAGCTTTCCCAGGGCGACCGCCTCTTCTTTGTCCACAAAGTCCAAGACCTTGCCCTGCAGCTGCTTCAGCTCCCGGGTGATCTCCGAGAAGCAGGTGTTCACCTCGTCTCGCATCGTCTGGATCAGTTTCTAGGGGGTGGGCGTGTAGAGCGGCATGTCTGAGCCCCACTCCAGGATCCCCATTGTCACAGCCTAGAGCCAGCCTAGGGCTCTTTCTGGCTCCCCCGCCATCTATACCAAGTCCCAAGAGTTCCCCCTGCACAGGTGCAGGGTGCCGGGGAAGCTGGGCCTGGGCAGGGGCTGCTGGGCCAGCCTTACCGAGAGAAAGGCCACCTGCCCCCGGTGCTTCTGGCTGTCAGAGGCAATGATCAACATCTGGTTCTCCACATCGGCCTGGACCTTCCGAACCTCAACCTGGGAAGAGGGGTGGGCTGGAGGAGGAGGCCCCTGATTTGAGAGGCGGCCTGGGAGAGGCCTCTGCAAACAGCCTTCTTTGCAGACCCGGAAGAGACATACCTGTCTTCATCAGCTCAACTTAAACGAGAATGAGAGAGGGAGACCAGTGCTGAAGGCGAGGCGGCCCATGGTCCCCACTGCGTGGTCTCTCACTCCTTGAGAACCTGCCCCCCTGTTCTTAGGACTCAGGTCCTTTGCCCCCAATGATGACCGCAGGGTTTCAGGCCATCGGAAGGGTCTTGAGAGGCTTAGAAGGAAGGACTGGGAGGGGCACATCTGTCCCCCAGCTGGTGCTGCCGGGTCGGCACCCTTCTACGCGAGTCTGTGGTCTCCACCGAGTCCAGCGATGGGCCCTTCCATGGTGACGGTCTATTCCAGGCCAGCCCGTACCATGGTTCAAGTCTCGGCCCAGACACTGGAAAAGCAGGCCAGGCATGTGTGGGTGTGTGCCTGACCTCCAGGGGAGGAAGAATGGAGCAGTGTTTGCATCAGGACAGTGCCCAGGGGGTGCTCCCTCTCCCCAGCACAGCGTCCCTGGACATGGAAACGGTGTGTCACAGAACAGCACCTGTTTGTAAACTGGTGTTGTCTGTCACGAAGAGGCTCATGCCTGACTGTAATCAGTGTCATGCTTCCTGCGTTGACAAAATCCTGCCATGAATGAAGTGTCCGTGGAGCTGACAGTGCGCTTCGTCATGCCATTGGTTCCGTCCTGGCACGAGCTGCTTGTCTGGCCAGGGGCTGCTGAAGCGTGTCTGTGCTAGGACTGCGCTGTCCGCAGACTACCCACGACGGGCTTGGGCTTTCTAAATAGGGATTCCACCTCCCAGAGCAACACAAATCAATACAGTTCCAAAACAGCGCAAAGGGGGATTGGGCACTCTGACCTGATGCGCTGACTCTTCCTCCCAGGAAATGTGAGATTGAAGGCCTGGAGAGCCTGGCCCCTCCTCCCCAGCCCCTCCTCCCGCCGCCCCTCATTGGAAGATGGAGGCCCTGGAGGGCCTGCCCCCCCCCCCCCAGCCCCTCCTCCCGCCGCCCCTCCGCACCTCCTTGCGCGCGCGCTCCTCCTCCAGCGGGGTGGTGTCGTGGTTCTTGTGCTCCTCCAGGAGGCAGGTCCCGCACACGCCG